ATATATCACCAGCTTCTTTTGCTACTAATTAGCACCGTAGCGATTACCAAATTGTGCTGGCTTTCAAATTCGGCAGTGACACCATTCCCAGATCCGAGCTCTGACTTCCCAGACAAATCGAATGCAGCGATAGTACAACCCCTGCCCAAGCTGTTGCTCCACAGAGTCAGCTAGCTGGCTGAGTAAAGCAATGTCTCCTAAACTGATACCATTATTTTTAAGAAATGTTGCAGTTTTGACTCTTTTTAAAACTGCAACATTTTCCCTTATGCAAAAAAATAAGGGAAGTTTGGGTTCGGGCAAAGGACCAAACCAAGTTTTCTTTTTTTGTTGATGTTGCTTTAAAAAGCAAATGTTTGAAATAAGCTACTAGCTACTGTGACTATCAAAGGAATAAACGACCTACTGGAGTAGGGACAATAGTCGGTTTCTATTTAAAAAAAAAAAAAAAAAGACCCTTACACCATGGTAGAGATTTTTGGTTTTAATTTTTGTGTAGATATCGTGTTGCTGTTAAACGTGAGTTTTAATCTCATTCCGGCCTATGCCTAATCCTGTAAACTTGTTTGAGTTTTTGTCCATCTTTTGAGTTTTGTCTAACAGGACCCGATCCAAGTCACTGTGAGCCCGTTCTTTAATCCTTACAGGCAACCAGGCAAAAAAAAAAAAAAAAAGATGTCTCCAAGGGTGGAATCTGCTGCTACTTTCCCCCAAAAAGCTACTCAGACTGGCCTCGACTTTTTACGCTCCGTCTCAAACCGACCTTTCCTCCCCCCTTCGAAGCAATCTAAGGGCTGCTCCGAAACAACCAGATACAAATAACATGGCAGCCCGCAAAATCACTACAGTTGTTCCTCATGTCTTCCAGAACATCAAACCATCAATAAAACACGGGAGATACATTCCAGCTATAGTCGAGCGGGACATTCCTGACTTCTGTGCATTCCCTTCGCAGCTCTCTCTCTCTCTCTGTCTCTCTCTTTCTCTCTCTCCCCCTCTCTCTCAAAACTTTCTCTCTCCTCCAAGTTTCACCACAAGTAAGAGCGGCTTCACATATTGCAGCCATATGAGTGAGCCATGGCTCGTCTCTGCTGCCCATACAGACACACACAAAAAAAGGGAATAAGCGCTTTGCTGTCTCCCACTCTCGCCCATGCATCCACAAATGAGTTTTACAAGCAATAGCCTCGCTTTAGGAAGTTGTCAACTGTTTTGACGTTTAATAGCTGCTATGAACAAGCCCGTAAGAAACAATGGTATCCAGTGACCTGAAAGAAAGTTTTTTTTTTTTTTACCACAGTGACTGTACACATTTTGGGTTACTTTAGTAATTTTAAAGAGATTTGTTCAAGTTGTAAAAGTTTGACAGGCCTGATTATGAACACGATTAGAATTTATTTAATCTAGTTAACGCTGAAACGCTGAAGACGGTGACGGGCAACATTAATTGCAAGTTTTGTGAGATTTGGAAGTTGATTAAAAGTACATGATTTCCATTTAATTCAAGCCCTAAGAATAGCGCCGCTCATCCATGTCAGCTTTTATTTAAAAAAAAAAAAAGAAGAATTACAAGAAAAGAAAAAGACAGACATGGAGATTTGAGGAACTGTTGAGAAATTTGTCATTATTACATGCGCAGACCACTGGAAAGCAGATGTGAAAACAGTCAAAGAAAAAAAAAATCTATATATGGAGCTGAATTTTTATTACAAACTTTACGTGGGGGTAAATAAGAGGTTCTGTAATTTGACTTAGCTGTAAGAACATGCCGTAAATTCTTTTGGTCAAAAAGTCTAAAAGAAATACAGAAATTAAATGTGATAAACTAAAAATCTGTAGCTTTACATTTAGGCAGGAAAGCTAATGTTTTAAGTTACAGCCGTCATCTTTCATTTATCTGGGAGTTAAAACTCTGGATTGACGGACGCCGCAGGAATCTTCCCAACTTTCTTTGACTCCGTTTCTTTGCTTAGGGAGCACTTCATCAGTCAGAACTTAAACCATTTAAGTCTAAAGTTGCACATTTTAAAAATGATTGTTAGAGTGTAATATGTATTAACTTTGAAACTCAGCGTATATCGTTGTTGGATGAATTTTTAGTATTAAACGAGTAAGAAAAATGTTTCTTACTCATTGGGGAGGATTAAAGAGAGACTAAACAGGCCTGAGATTTGTTTTAAAATTCAAAATTAAAGGTTATCTGCTGGAAAGAAGCAAAGCAAGTTGTTGTTGGGCTTTTAGGGGAGGCTCTGGTTTGAAGAGATCTTGTGAAAAACTGGGATGAAAAGAGATAAATAAAGTTTCCACGCAGCACCTCTAATGACATCAAAAAGCCAACATGAGACAGACTCTTAAAAGTGTTATCCAACTTACTTTCACAGGGAATGCTAAACTGAATCAACGTGAATTAAACAAGAAGAGGAGATTCTAAGTGCGTCACAGAGACGTGGAGGCTATGTGGACAGCAAAGCTGTGTAACGACTCAGCCGAATTAAAGGGAGTTATACTGTATATCTAGTTAAACACTAATCTTAGTGTGGGATTATGCACAATTCAGCGTTTTAAAATACAAAAAGTCCTTACTCTTTAACAGTCTCCATACTTAATAGTTTTGCAAAGTTTCTATACAAGATGTGATTGACCTTCCTCCTCTCTTACTGAAGAATCTTTTCTGTAAATATACTGCACATGCACACTGTAACCTTATTTATATGAACTGCAAAAGCCAATAATAAAAAGAAAAAATTAAAAAAAAAAAACATAGAAGCTTTCTCCTTCTAAGTCACCTAATTAGAGTTCCTATACTGGATGGTTGTCCGATAAATCTTTTTATGATAATAGAAAGTTTTCATCATCAGTAGTGCCTCCTCCAGGCTCTATCTTGGTTACCCTTGGGTTTTGTTTTGGAGATATATCTGAGGTAACTTTCTGAGTCAGAGAAAAAAAAAACATTAGGGAAAATTTGACAGCCAAAGCCTAACATTTTAAGATGCAAAAATGCACATTTTACAGTATATTTGGAGTGCATTACAGGTTTAATTTTTAGCCTAGGCATGCATTGTTAATTCATAAACAATTTACAACTCCTGAAGGATAACGCATGGAAACTTGCACACTTGTACAGTTTTAATCTATTCATTAAAAAAAAAATTACACCTCAGATGCAGATTTTAATATACGTCTACATCACAAAAAAATTTGCCAAACCTTCCCGGATCATTAAAGACACATTATCACTCAATAGGTTCAAAAATGCTAATTTTAATGAACAACTCAGCATGTAGTTAAAGCCTCACCTTAAAACTATACATGCATCTTAAGAAATTTATAAATATGCAGAGGAAAGCCTAACGGAAGGTTAAATAGTACTGAATTGCCTAAAATAAAAACTAAATCACCTCGAGCAAATAAAAATATTTTTGATCTCATTTTCAGCTGCCACTCTCACTCTCAACAATTTTAGGTATTTTCTTAGGAATATAAGCACTGATTTTAAACTTTTAAACGAGTGAGGATAATTGTGTGGGGTAGCTTAAACAGAAGCTTAATAGGCCTGCATTGCTTTTTAAATACATTACTGCTGGTTATCTGCTTAATAAAAGCAAGGCACGTTGTTTTGTGGAGTTTTAGGGGGGCTCCGATTTGGAAAACTCTGGTGGAGGACTCTGTTAAAAAAGCTTCCTTGCCTCATTGTGCTGCCTTCACATACCCTGCTGTCCCCACAGAGTTGTCATGCCTACCCAGCACCCTTATCTCAAAGGAACATCACAGTTTGTTACGACGAGAGGAGGGGAGGTGGAAGGGAGGTGTGTGTGGGGGGGAGAACTTTCTAAAAGTTGAGTAAAATGCAACTCAGAACATGAAGCTTTCAGCCAAAACAAAACAAAAACACACGAAATAAATAGATAAGAGTTGAGTTTAGCTCGCGTGCACTTGTTTGCTTTAAGGTTGATAAGGGAGGATGTGTCGACAACTCAACATCCACCACGCCGCTCTTCAACAATGAAAACAGCGCCATATCGAATAAACAACGCTTCTTTGATGTGCAAATCCCACTTTTTGTCGCTTTTTAGCCCCCAATAAACATCAGGGAACCGAAGAGTGACGTTTGCCGTTTGTTTTTGTTTAGCTTGTAACACTTTCCGTTCAATTCCGCGACATGCGTCAGAAATCTGAACTTGAGTATCAAGTTTGCGGCGTGAAAAGTTATCAATGAAACAACAAACACAGCAGACTCGTAGTTACACGGGAGCTCCTTTGCAGTAACAGAAATCACTCCGGAGTTTAGCTGACTGCAATCAGAATCAATCAGGACGCCACTTATCGCCAACTTACAACCCAGAACTTAAAAAAAAGAAGAAAAAAAAAGAGGAAAAGCACAAACCTACTTGAGGCGACTCCACGTTCCCCCCTTTGCTTGCTTTCTGCTTGTTGTTGGCTTCAAACTTAAATCAAAGCAGTAGCTTGTCCCCGGTAGCAGCAGCAGCAGTTACAGCAGAAACAGCCCCCCCACAATTCGCATTAGTGTGGTGTTTGGGTGTCCTAAGCTAAATGTAAATTGCCATGTGAATTCAAAGCGGTTCTCCCTCCTCTCTTCTTCATTCAACAGCAGATCCCCCCCCCCACCCCTTCGCCGCCGCCACCACCCCCTCCCCTCCGCCCCCCTCTCTCTCTCTCTCTCTCTCTCCGTCTCTCTTCCCCTCACACCGACGCTGCTGCTGCTACTCAGGCCGTTAGTTACATAAGACGCAAACCGACCGCTGCCCGTCGTAAAACTACAAACGGCTACATTTTGTCTCCCCCTTCAAAATCGCTTCCTTTTCGGACGAACACGTCTCATCGGCTGACTCGTCTGAGAAGCACATCTCTCGCCGTCTACGACTCCAAACCTGCATCGCTTGGTTTATATATTTAAATAACTGTAATTTAATAATAATAAAAAAAAATTTTAAAAAAAAGGAGAAGGTCTTGCAGAGATAGTTGTATGTATGGATGCTTACCTGTTGATCAAAACAAGCATTAGGTTCTTTTCTCTCTCAGATTGTGTCTCTTTCAGCAGCCTGTAAAGATGGTGGCTGGCTGGATGGCTGTCTGGCTGGTTCGTCTCTTTGTGGGGTTTTTTTTTTTTTTTTGTTTGTTGATGATGTCGGACGGGGTGACTGTGTCTTGGCTGTCTCTTTTTTCTCTCTTTGGTCAGAGAGGGTGGGGGGGGGGGGGAGCGAGATAGTTAAAGGCTTCGCGGCAGCAGCACATAAACTAGGCTAATACCGACTGATTAGTGGGTGAGTTTGGCTCGGGTGTTGATATATTCCCGACGCTATAGTTAGTTTGTTATTCATGGAGTTGGTGGTCACAGCAAACCAAAGCAGGTCAGCTCGTTATCTTTCCTTTTTTTTCTTTTCTTTTCTTTCAGACTAGTGTTATCGCTTTGCTGTGACAGGACCTCTCCGCTTGTCTCTCTGTAGGCATTACGTCAGAGGAGGAAGACACAGCGGCTCTATTAATATCAAGAAGCCACCCGAAGACTCACTCTTAAAGTGACACACACTGTTATCTCTCCCTGGTTTACACAGGTAATGAAGATCTGAATCAGAAACTAAGAATAAAGTTAGAAGTTATCGGAGCAAAGTAACCACTCAGCCAAACAAGACGGACTGCAGCTGGCACTTTAAATAAGAGTTAGGGAACATGTACAACAAGTAAATAAACGCTTATTATCGCTTATTCACCAACATGTGGTGAATGGTTGTCTAACTCATCTTTTTTTCTGTTATAGTATGATTCTTTTTTCCCCCATTGTTAACAGTGCCTATTAGTTCTTGTCTCGGGTTGCATTTCCCAACTTTCTTACAACCAAATTAGTCTTACTGCTAGCAGATTAATATTTGGAGTTTAGTCAATAAATCACAATGTTTGCTTCTGTTAGGAACTGGCAAATAAGACTATGTTCAAGGGGTATTAAAAGAAAATCACTATTAATTTACATATCTTTTTTTAAAAATGGCATATCTATTTATTGATTAGTCAATAGATAAATAAATAGTATTTCACTGACAGTCAGAAAACCGTCTTGGACATTCTGGCAAAACCCTTGTGACATCCTTATACGCCATGTGATGTTTGATAAGACTTATTTTACTTTGTTGTAAAGAGTTTTTAATCGCAAACATCTCTGAGATAAAATGTCAATGTAAAGTCTGTATTTATATGGATTTGACTAAAGTTATTGCAGCATTAATTATAATTCAGGGCTATAGTGATTCATTGTAAATTAGTCTCTTTTATGCCGTTTGCACCTGATAGAAAATTCTACTCCCAGACTTTACTTAATCATGAATAGCCTTGATCGTACTATTAGTAATTATAATAAATTATAAATAATTTTGTCAGCTATTCTAAAAATGCAGTACTGAATCCAAAATTCAACTCATACAGACTTCTGGTGGGGATTCTTTTACTAACTTATTTTTACTTTATCTTCATCACTTTGCATGCTTTCAAACTGCAAGGGAAACTACTGCTAACATGTACCCTTTTTGATCTAGCTCCTCTCACAGGGTTTTGAGCCTGGTAAAGAAGTTGTTCACCAAGAGGCAAGGAACACTCTTAGTAGATTCACAGTCCTTCACTGGGCACACAAAGAAACACATTTCTATACCCTTTCACTAACACCTATGGGAATTTAGAATTAGGTTTCTTTATCTGGATGGTGGGAAGAAGCTGGAGCACCTGGATACACTCATGTAAACCTCTGGTCCAAAGCTCCTGGGAATAGACGATGCTGTATTAATATTATGGTCTTTATAAGTCTTTGCCTCCACTGTGTTTAGAATTTGAATTCAGGATTGTTCTGTTCTAAAAAGTCGTAAACAATTCAATTTTAGGCTTCAAAAAGTCTTAAGTTAACCCATGCGTTATATATTTATTTAGATTTTAACCACATGTTAAATACAAGCATGTTTTTCTTGTAAGTCTGCCTTTCTTATGGATGTGCTCCAAACATAAAAAATGGACTAGACTAGACTAAGCTATAGATTTCATAAATGTTCTTAGCAAGAGGGTGAGTTTGTATAACAGTGCTGTGCACAATTTTTTAAAAATACATATTTTTCTATTCAGTTGGAATTTCTCATACATTTTATGTTTTTGTTTTTTCTTCTTGCACTTTGTTGTTTAACAGTAACAGGAGTGGGAAGTTAACAGTATTTATTTTATTTTATTTATTTATTTATTTATTTATTTATTTATTTTTGTCAAAATTTGATCAGGAGTCCTAAAAAGACTGAAAATATATTTTTGATATATTTCTAGCAATGTTTTTTGGGGGAATCTGAAAAACAAGCCATTTCAAAAAGTTCAGATTATTAAGCCACAATCTTCCGGACACTGCCGTTACCTAGCAACCCCAGCTGAGCCCAGCCTCTTACCCGGACCCTAAAACAGCTCATACTGAAAGGAGTTCAAAGTAGCTAGAACCAAGCAGGTGAAGTTATCTAAGAATTATTATTGCAAAAGAAAAAATTTTAAAAACATGTTTTGTGCAGCCCACAGAATTATCCTAACCTGTTCAAGAAAGCATAACTGGTCCCCTCTAAAATTCCCACCACCTTCTCACTACAAATCATTTTATTGAATTAGTTGTAAATGCTACTTTAAAATATAAGACTATAATTGTCACATTCCCTGTTGTAACAGTTATGTAACATTAAAGGGCTTCATGCTACATGACTTAATGCTACATGACTGCATCAGCTTAAGCATTACTCAGTCTAAATGCTACTCTACAGCGCACCCTCTGTTGAAAAGAGGGACTTTATCTACCTGTTATTGGAATAATTAATCAGACGCAAGATTAAGATTTATAAAAGTACACACTGTGAATCAGAATTTCATTTATTTTTATTTATTTACTTATTTATGAAATTATGTCAATAATGTAGAGGTGTTTCAGGAAGCGCTATAAATAATTGAATGTGACCTTGTAAGCTCTCTGGAAAAACCAACATGTCTTTTGTCCAGTGAGCTTTCCTTCATTCCCTTCAAAAGCTTCCTCACCTCATTACTCCCTGAAGGAGGAAGCTTCAGTGAACTTTTTACTTTTTTTCCCTCTACACACTGGCCTTCAGAAGTCAAAGGTAAGAGGGTTTTTTTTTTTTTTTTGCTTGTTTTCTGTGTTTTTGCCAACAGAGGAGGTTCTGAAGCCTGAAGGCATACATGCTGCTGCTGCTGCTGCTGCTGCAGCTGCTGCTGCTGGATCCAACACTATGAAAGCAGTGAAGGTTCTACAAATCCCAAAGGGAAAAATTAAAATAAGAAGAAAAGTCACTCTGGAGAAATATAGCTCTCATATGAGGCTGCAGGTCTGCTATGCAGATATCTATATACAATTTCCTATTTTCATTCTTGTCCTTTCTTTATCTTTTGCTGTTTTGTTGAGGCTACCATTTCACTTTAAGTAACACATCATGTATTCCTGTTATTTTTCCTCCCCCCGATTCTTCAGAAGTACAGAGGCAAATAAATAAATCAATAAATTCATGGATCTGACAACTCAGAGAGAGTGGTTTGCTTTGTTTATTATATTTTGGGAAATTTTTTTACCGATCCAATCTTAAGTTTGAGGGATGCTGTCATGTTTTTTTTTTTTTTTTTATGACAAACTTTATTCCTCTTTACCAAACACATTTGGAGTTCAATATAAATTCTGACATTTACTAGATTATCAGTACTTAAAAGATAGTGTTCCCTTTTTCGTTTGCAGTCTATTCTCTAGATCTCCAAATGAGATCGAGACACCACGAAAGTTTGCTGCTTGAATTGAAGCTAAGATTGATTCTACAAAGTATTGAATAAGAAGTTCAGGAAAATAAAGCACAATACTAATTTTTAGATTAAAACTTGGATTGTTTTCCTTAACGTTTATCGTTCTGTGCTCTTTGGTGTTGGTCTACTAAAGATGCATTTAATGTGAATGAACTATAACGCAACAAACTGAAAAGCTAAAGGGTGGTGAATACTTTTCCAAGATGCTGAAAACCTTTTGTCCATTTTCATTTTTATAGCAGCAGCTTGCGGATTTGTTCCAGTAGGTCACTGACTGGCTGCTCTCTAGGGTTTCATTCTCCGGAGACTGCCTGGTGATCTGGATTGTTTTGGAAACCACTTTCCTGCATTTCTCATTTGAAAATGATTTTGCAATTCAAAGTTATTAAACATGTTCTGCTTTCACAGAATAGCTGCAGGAAAAAATGACGCTTCCAAAGCTTTTTAGTTTCTGAAAGGCCCAGCACCTTAACTCTGAGTCACCAATGAGTTCCACCCTGCTTTTTATGCTTTCCATTATACAATTTTCATTCTTGTAAGTTTTAAAAGTCCTTCACATTTGTGCTTTCCGAAGTTAATTTAATTTTCACCTCAGAATATACTTTCTTCATACCCATGACCCTCATGTTTGTAATAGCATGAAATAACTCATTCAAAATATTTTTGATTTACTAATGAACCTATTACTACACAGTGTAACCTTTTGAAATACCAGGTAACTCAATAACGTATACCAAAAACATAACAAAAATTGTATGTAGCTGAATAATAATCTGTCAATTTAGCATAAATTTGTCACAAAAGTCACATTAAGACAGTTTATAAGACAAGCAAGTCTTACAAACGCATAAACTCAGTCAGTCCAACTGTACTGAATCCAATATGGGCAAAATTTGCTTCTAACAACACAATTTGTTAGAACTACAATCTAATTAGAGTCACTTTCCGATCCAAATACATAAAATCCAACTCAACCCAAATAATGATGCAAAACAATCCATTTCAGAAAATGAGTTAATGCCAGTTGGAAAACGATGTCGATTCTCTGTATCATTTATCTGATCAGTCTCAAATCTATCAATGATCAATTAGAGGGAATACATTGTTTGTCAAGAAACAAACAGAGCAAAATGAAAAATCCTCCAGGGAATTGAATAGAAAATACTAGGATATTATCAGCCCATTTCAGATCTAACCTTATTGAAAGTTCTGTCAATGTCTCTTTCGCTCTGAAATTTAAAGATATAGTTTTTGTGCTTATTTTGAAGTTCAAAATACCTAGCTTGCGATCAGAACTGATTAATCAGTCTGGGCCAAATCTCTTCAATGCTGTTTCTCATGTCACCTTGTTGAGATTTTCCTACCCTATTATTTAAGTTTACAGAGAGAGACAGAGAGACAGTTCCAGATTTCTAGATCTGTCTAGATGTCACATTTGGTTTAGAAGCTATCTTAGAGTTTTAAAATATCAAATCATACTTTACAGAGTATAGTTTGACATACTGATATATCCATAAATAATTTTTTATATATATATATATATATATATATATATATATATATATATATATATATATATATATATATATATATATATATATATATATATATATAACATAGGAAGCCCAGTAAAGATGATGTCTTGCATGTTTCAGGAACATCATCGGTGGGGACAATTATTTCAGCCAAATTAAATATCACGATGGAGTGCTGATGCTAACGAGTTGGTCAAAGTGTGAAATATACAAAAGTCAATTTTCTGATTCATTTCAGTCATTACAAAAATATATGACATTATTCAGAATAACACCCATGGATTTTCAAGGCTTTCTCTAATATTTGGCCTTACCATATATATTGGGAGATGTTTATCTTGCTGTCGACTAAGAAAAGAATAGCCTTTTTCATAAAAAGTCTCACTTAAGTCAAGTAAGTCTTCAACAAATGTAGTTGTGGAAACCTTTTCACAGCTATGACTCTTGTTCAGATGATTAACATGAAATGTGGATTAAAAAAAAACACAAAATGCAAAGCTGTTGTTCTGGCAGTCACTCATTAAGACTGTTCATTGTAAGATGGCTCAATCGTGCAGTTTAGTTTTTCATAAAATGTTCATACTAATAACTCAGAGTGATTTCTATTAATGATGGTATAGCACGTGATGTGCATTAATGTATGCAGGTTAGATCGTTGAATAAGAAAGCATCGAAAGGAACCGGTGTAAATTACCTCCAGAAGCCTTGAGAAAATTTAAAATGTGATGCTGCTTCATTAATTCCACTCTGTTTGAGTCCAATTGAAAAGGAAATGAACAGTTTCTGAACAACTGCTTCTTTCATCACTAATTCATGGAGAAATAGGTCTGATCCAAGGACAGCAGTGCTCAGCTAGCTCCATGGTGGTTTTGGCCTCTTCTTTACCTGACCTCATTCTCACTGACAATACAAGAGGACCTTTTAAAAAAAGGCTTAGTTTTGAGGCACCTTTTTTTTGTCAATTTTAAGCAAGAATATATATATATATATATATATATATATATATATATATATATATATATATATATATATATATATA